TTTAGGGGCACCCCTCAGCTCTTGGCCTCTGGAAATGATGCTTCAGCATGGAGGATAATTGTTTCCTCTTCTGCTACTTGAATCCTATTTTCTCCTTCAAGTTCAGTTGTAAGCACTTCCCAATTCCGTTATTTGTGACCACAGCAAGCTTCCCTTGTCTATCCTAAAGCATTAATTCCTTTTGCTCAACTCTCCTTTCAAAAAATTGATACTTGTTAAGCAAATTGTCAGCAGCAGGCTGACAATTTTTACCTTCACAGAGCTTGTGTAGTTATCCCTATGCTTTTGCTTTTTCAGCATTTCACCATTTTATTCACCACAAATAAAATGTGCACATGAGGGGTCTTTTCTTTCTTCTCTGCCACCCTGACACGTAGGTTAGTGACTGACCACCATCTGAGCTGCTCTTTCCATCAAGCTTTGCGGTTGTGAGGCATCTCAAAACAGTGAGATACCTCAGCAGCACTTCCAGCTCCTTGATGTGACCGAGCAGAACTTTCTGGAAGCCTCTGCGCAGATGTGCTTTGTCTAACTGCTGTTCCCAGGTCCATAGCTGGGCATCATATTTTGCCCTTGAATCTTTCCCATACCTGTTGTCCATACTTTTGGGTTTCCACTATTACATCTCAGTCCTCTTTGTATGCTCTTGGGTTTCACCAGAGGTTTGAAGGAGCCATGATGCTGAATAGGTAATGGCTGTTATTTTGTCTGTCCAGGAGAAATTCTATGTCTTTTTATATGTAGTCATGTCATTTTTCCAAATATGTTATCTGTTTCCTAATGACAGGAGTGGTATCTTTACCTCTATGTTTTCTACAATAAAGAAAATACATAATGGATGCTCTTTGTGACTGGATATGTCTTTAGTCAAGTGAGTCCTCCATCTTCTGAAAATACCTAAATCCTCTCTTCTGCCATTAACTGTGCAGTGGTTGTTCCTAGGTGCTGTGACGTGTGTTATTGGTCTCTATTCCAATCCAGCTCAAATCAAATTCATATGTGTTGGAATGTACAGAATAACACAATTTTTGCAACATGGCTAAGGACTGAGTTGTCATCAGTGGCTTGGCCCTGCACAAGGTGAATGCTTGGGATTCTGTGAAGAAAATCCTACCTGGGCCCATTCTTTACCTATTTTGTGTCCTATGCTGACTTCACAGTTACTCTGAGACTTACCTAAGAGCAAAACACTGGAATTACTTTCTAGAACTCTGTGTTAGAAGTCAAGCAATAGACCTCTAGCAGAGCTCTGGAGCATTTCATATTCTAGATCTTCCCATAGTCACTTCAGGATTGAGGTCTCACTGAGAAAATAACATTATGTTCATTAAACAGAATTTCAAGACTTTAACCATCATAAAAACTAATATTTGCATATCAATGAATTGTTTATGAAGGGCCTTCACATTTGTGAGTACTCTCAGGGAGGTAATATTTTTGTTGTTATTACTATTACCAATATGTTAAGGAAACAGTTATTCAAAAACATCTAACGCTGTTATCAAACAATTAGGATATAGCAGATCTAAATCATGTGTCCTTTACATCACAAAGTCTCTTATATAACTTTCCTTGAAGTGCACCTCATATAGTCCTTGAGGATTTTATTATTGTTTAGCAAGGAAAAACATATACATATTTCTTGACAAACCTAGTTTATAGCCAAGCTTAAGTAATCAGCCTTGATTTCAAATACCATGCCATCTATTTAGGAATTAACAGCTATTAACTCCCAGAAGTTCTCCACCAAATGTGCTTTTCTGAAGAAGAAATACATTTCTTAGACCGGGTATTTAATATGAAAGAAATTGGGAAACAATGTGATATTGCAATTGAGTTGATTTGTTAATTGTTCCTTTATTAGGAAATAGCTACTAAACTGAATTATGATCATGTGGAAATCACTTAGCTACAGCTATGTTAGGAAAAGATAATTGTTTTCTTGTTGATGTAATAACAAAGCTCGATAAGATCTGGGCCTCTTATTTGTTCTGCAGCTTAAGTCAGCTAATATATTTCTCTGAAACCCTCCGAACATTTGTAACGGCTGTTTTTATTTCTCCTTTACTAATGAGTTGGTCTTTTTTTCAAGGTTATCTATCCCACAAGTGAGAGTAGGCAACATTTCTTTTTCAAAAATACATTCAGATGCAGTTAACACATCTCTTCAACATGCTTGTTTTCTCTGTCCCTCAAACCCCTCTATATCCTTTCTCCCTCCCCACTTTACCCTCTGAAACGTTTGTACCTTCACCCCTGACTCATCCTACTCCTCTTTTGAATTTCCCAAGATCTAAATTCTCTCATTATATTTCCTCCCCTCCACAGAATCTGATTTCCCTTATATATTTGAGTGACAGAGTTATTTATGCATGTGGGTACTCCAGGAGATGCTGAAAGTAGCTTCCTGTTTCTACTAAGCTTTTTTTAAAAAGATTTATTTATTTGTGCATACAGAACTGGGGTACAGGCCAGAGGCTCCGGGGCTGTGAGAGGCTTCACCAGAGACAGAGCGGGGAGCAGAAAAGGCAGATAAACGAAGTAAACTGCTGAGGGGAGCAGTGGGCGGGTCAGGAGAGGTCTGCCACGCCATGTGGTCACCTCCGGGGCAGGTGGGAATCGAACTTATGCGGAAGTGACTTTAGCTTCTTAGTGCTGTGCTTTAACCCGCTGCACCACTAGGGAGGGCCCCTCTACTAAGCTATTTGTGTGTAAAGAACAGAGACTTCCCCAAGTTTTCTCAAGTGCCCAGAGACTTGATGTAATTACACACACAAACGCAAGGAAAGAACAATCTCACCTTTGGGACTAAGTTCATCTCTTGTTTCTCCATGACTGAGTCTGTTTCTTTGACTAATGGATTCCTCTTTTCTCTCTCTATGCCTCATGTTTTGACGCCGTTCCCTATCTGGAATAGTAATTTCCGAGAATGGGCTCCCGCCTTCTTCTCTCACTGCTGCAGAACTAGCGTCCTCTTGTTTTAATTCATGCTTCCCCAGTACTCCATCAGCTCTCTTAAAAGTCCTTGGTTCACTTGTTTCATTTCTATCCTCAGAAACTTGCTACAACAGTTCTCTTAGTAATAATGTGCACCCTCAGAAATTTGAGAGCTTGGTATTTCTATGACCTGAATTAAACTACACACATATAAAAATCTACCCCTTATTAGTCTATCACTATAAAACAATTATTAAAAAGTATTCTGTGCACTTCAAGCATCCTGAGTGCCAAATCCTCAACACCCCTGCGGCCTCCCCCCCCCCTCAGGTGGCAATGTTCTTCAATGTTCTTGACTTACTTGAAGCCTCTAGCTTGGAAAAAGGTGACGGTTCACTCTGTGCCCCACAACTCGTTTTTCTCATTGCTTCTAGATCCCTAGCCATACCTATTCCTAGCAGTTCTAGAGAACAAGTTGCAAAATCAAATCCAGAACTCGATAAACAGCAATTTGCAACATTTTGCCAATCTGTATTGATAAGGAAAACATTCTTAAGATTAATTTTTCTGCATTCTATTCTACAGTATAGAAAGGACTTATTCTGGGATAGAACAGACATGTCCATAGAATCATAAATGATGTAGTATTTAGATATGAACTAGACCTTTTTTTTTTAAAGATTTATTTATTTATTCGTACAGAACTGGGGTACAGGCCAGAGATGCGGAGGGTGAGAGGATTCACCAGAGACAGAGTGGGGAGCAGAACAGACAAATCAAGGGAGTACACTGCTGAGAGGAGCAGTGGGCAGGTCAGGAGAGGTCTGCTGCACCATGTGGATCTCCTGCAGGGGCAGGCGGGGATCGAACTCATGGGGAAGTGGCCTAAGCTTCTTAGTGCTGCGCTTTAATCGCTGCGCCACCAGGGAGGGCCCGAACTAGACCTTTTTTTAAGGATCAAGCTCATTCATTCAGAAATATCCCCCAGTCATACAAATATAGTATTAATTTTCTATGTACATTGTATATAATTTCACATATGGAAGGAAGGGAGTTTAGATAAAACTGCACAGGGATAACATATATCTTAAGGAATTCTGTTTTATATCACTGACATCAAGTCTTAGAATTCTTTCATTGTTGGTCTCTGTCACAAGAATGGGTGTGTTATTTTGAAATAAAACAAATGCTTGGCAAATAACAGGCACTCCGATTTGGATATTCCTTTGGGTGTATGAATGGACAGTGATACCAGGTATGTGATGTGAACTTAAATAACATATTGGTTCATGGGGAAATTATTAAGTACAGCTTCATTGTTGTGGAAAAGTCTTTTGAAGATGGATCAAGTGCAAACCAGATCATACCAGGACTATGCAAGACACCGGAGCTGGAGAATGCAATTTTAAGAGATTCTAAGTTGATCTGAGATGTGATAGGCTTCAGTATGACTATTTCAGGCAATAAACTAGCAAGAGAGTACAGTTTCAGGCAAACTAGCAAGAGTGCTAACAGGTAGTTGGAAAGGCTGGAAAGACAGATTTGGGATATTTGTTAATATCAAGCCATCTCATTTTGCGGCAACTGAAACAAAATTATTGGTTAAGTGGCTTCTGTACTCATTCTGTACGCAACGATACATACACAGCGTTGCAAAAGCGGTTTTAGCATCAGGTCTCTAGTATGTTCATTATTCCAGATAAAAGTAACAGACCAGGAAAGTCCTGCAATATCCGAAGGATGACATTTCTGATATTAGTCCGTCTTAGTAGGGACTAGAAATATACTTCTAAATCATACCGCACTCGGTGCCGGACCTTCTAAACTCTGTTGTGCCTCAACAGAAAAACGTCGAGCATTTCCTCTCTACAAGCACTTGCAGACTACACGCTAGGAGGTCGGACTTGACTTTTCCACTGCTGGCGGTCCGCCTAAACCTCCGAGATGACGTCACCTGTCGAGCTCGGGGGGCGGTGCGCCCTTAACCACACCCCCTGCAACTGAAGTCCCGCCCCCGAGCGTTTCGCCTCTCCTCTTTCCGGCGCGTCGTGACGCTAGACGTAGGTCACGCAACATTAGCAACTGGTCTCGGAAGTAAAACGCAAAGGGGCGGAGAAGAAGGCGGAAAGGAGGGTCCTTGTCGTGGGTTGGCCGGCAGGGGGCGGGGCGGGGCTGGGAATGGTAACGGCTCTGAAGGCGAGGGCGCCGGGCCGGAGGGAGGCGGAGGAACCGGTGCCCCCCGCCGCTGCCGCTGCAGCCGCCGCTCCCGCCTCCTTCCTGTGGTTCACCCGGGTCCCGCCGCGGCCATGATGATCCACGGCTTCCAGAGCAGCCACCAGGACTTCTCCTTCGGGCCCTGGAAGCTGACGGCGGCTAAAACTCATATCATGAAGTCAGCGGATGTAGAGAAGTGAGGTTCCAGGGCACGGGTCGGGGCGCGGGCCAGTGGCTGGGCCTGGGCGGGAGGCCGGACGAGCCCCGCGCAACCCCTTCCCATCCGTGGGACGGAGGCTCGGGCCGGGATCTGTGAATGACAACAGCAGTGAACGATCTTTTCGCCACCTCCAGTCCTTCGGTTGGTGTTGGCTGGACTCGGCCTCAGCGAAACTGTCACTCCCCCGCATTTGAGTCGAGCCTGACAGTTCTGGCAGGCTTTCCGCTCGCTGTAGGTCCTACCTGCCCCAATCTGCGCCCCATTTAGACCGGTTTCTGTGTATGTGGCTATGACATATGTATGCATGTGGGTGGGTAGGTAGGTGGATGGATGGGTGGGTAGGTAGGTAGGTAGGCAGGCAGGCAGGTAGGCAGGCAGGTATGGTGCTGCAAATCAGCAAGGCAGCAAATCAGGTGCTGCACCAGATACTGAACATGAAAGACAGCCTCTGCCTCCAAGAATTCACCATCTCTAGAGACAAGACAATTATAATACAGTTACAACTGTTTGATGCAGGTATTTACGCCTGGGCAGTTTGATATCCTTAGAAAGGGAGAATGCAGGAGTGGAGATTTGATGGCCAGTTGATAGGAGGGGAAAGGAAAAACTACTGATGGCAGGACTTTTGACTTGGGCTATTGCATGGAAAATATTGTTATTCAACAAGGTGAGACACACAGGAGATGGAGCAGGTTAGGGGCAAATGTTTGATGGAGGGAGTTTATAATTTGTTGAAATGTGACTTGTGTATGGGTCATAAAGTGGAGATGTAGTCAGCTTTTAAATAAATTTATCTTGGAGCTGAAAGACCACTTGTCTGTGGGTTGAGATTTAAGAATCCTCAGTTTAAAGTTGATAACTGGAGACTTGACAGCGGATTAAGGTCATCAGAAGAAAAGGAAAGAGCTGGTGAGATGGACTCTAGGGAGCACAGGGTTTAGGCAGGGGAAGAGAGGTAAGCGATGAAAGGGTGTTTAACTTTCTAAAAGAAAGTAACATTACTGTACACTCCATAAGGAAAATACTGAAAAGAAAAAACCAAACAAACAAACAAAAAACAACCACCCATGGTTACACCACTCACTGATTGATTACTCTTTGGGTTTTTCTCTGTTACATGTTGCACCATCTATAATTATTCTGTATATAAAGCAGGCTGCTTCAAATCAGGGTTGCCCATATAACTTATAAACTTTTTAAAAGATGCTGGATAGATGGAGAGTTTTAAAACATGGAGAGTTTTAATTCTGGACCTATAATCTCTTTATTTCAAAAATAAATCTTATTATTTCTAAGGAAATCTACCTGATATACTTAGTCCTTTCTTCTGATAAGAGAGGCTTACCCTCACCTACCCTAACTTTTGTTGTATTGCCTTAGGGTCTAAAAACCTTCAGGCTGCTAAATAAATGTTGGATTAAGAAAACTTTTAATGGCTATTTAAGGCTAATAATGGATATTAAAGAGCCCTAATCCTATAGAGGGTTCTTGTCTTCATATGTTATAAATGGTAATCCTATTTGTTAAAATTGAAGTTTGACATTAGAAATGGGTTAAGCCACTCTGTCTTAAAGTACAGTGTACAACACTTTTGGTTATAGGGACAATTGTGTATAACCGATCATTAGCGTTTATTCAAAATGATTGACGGAAATGTTTTGACTCTTGCCCAACCAGCCCTTGGAAACTACCATCCCACTCTCTGAGTCTGTTACTTTTGAGTATTTATCTAAAATATTAAAATCAATAAAGCTAAATTTTATCTAAAATAATCATGTAGTATTGTCACTGACTTCATTTGGCATGATGTCCTAAGGTTCATCCATGTTGTTCCTCTGGTCACTTTTCACTCTTCCCTCCGCTCTACCTGATGGCTTCTGTTTCCTGCCACGTCTCTTGGTCTTTGCTTCATTTGACTATAATTCAGGCATCTGAGGAGAGAGATCAGAATAAGTTTAATTGATCACTATTCAGTTAAGCATGGCTATATTGGGTACAGTTTTCTAAGATTTAGGAATTCTGACAACCAAAAGATAATTTCCTTTTGGTTAAGAAACAGAACTTTCATCTCTAAATTGAAAGCCCTTGTTGTAACTGACTGGTTCATAAGAATGATATTAACTTAACACAGCCTCCTAAAAGGGTCCAGGTCAACTGTAGAACCCATACCCCACTTGTGGGGACAATACAGAGCTCCCGCCAGCTGGTGCGACATGGTCCTGGATGCCCAGTGTTGTGGGCCTCCCAACTACTTCAAATACATAACAAATATACAGGCCAATAAAACATTTGGATTATTAGTTGTTGTCCTAGCTTTATAGTTGTCTAATATAACTTACTTTTCTAGTGAGGCTGGCCAAATGCTCTCTAAGTATGTATAAAACTATCTACCTGCTGTCACAGGAAAAGGTCTGGAGTTCTTGGCTGGGAAGGTAGTTTTGAGGCTCAAATGTCATGATCATAGAAGCAATCTTTGATTATCCTACTTTAAATAATGCCCCCCTTACCTTACTTTGTTTTTTGTAAATCACTTATCACTGATGTTATAGTATGTATTTCTGTATTTGTTTATCATCTGTCTTGTTTAGCTCATTATTAGTACAATGTTATAAAGATACACATGGAAAGAATGGATGCTGAAAGCGTTTTTAGACTTTATAAATATGTTTATTTTATCAAATTTTATATTACTTAATTCAGTTATGTGGGAAGAATTATGGTGGGAACAAATAAAAGTACCAAGGATGATATAAAATAATCTTATCCAACTTTTGGTTACATACAGGTTAGCTGATGAATTGCATATGCCATCTCTTCCTGAAATGATGTTTGGAGACAACGTTTTAAGAATCCAACATGGCTCTGGCTTTGGGATTGAGTTCAATGCTAGAGATGCATTAAGATGTGTAAACAACTACCAAGGAATGCTTAAAGTAGCCTGTGCTGAAGAGTGGCAGGAAAGCAGGTGAGAATCTTGGCAGTTATGGATTAACATAAAAGAAATGAGTTGAAAGTAATTTCATGATGTGTATTTTATTAGAACAAAAGGCTAGTATTTGTAAACTTGGTAGTTGGATTATTCTAATTTTTCTTATTCATAAAATGGAGGATAGTGATCCTATCTCTTGAATGGCTAAATAGAATTGCCCTTGAGCTGAACTTGGTAGGGTTTACTTTTCTGAACCTTCAATGAAGAGGCAGTATACTGTATGAAGAGGCAATATGCTGTTTTAAATATTCCTGTTTTAAAGAGAAATGTTTTCTTATGACATCCATTGAAAATTTGAGAAACTTTAAAATCAAAAACAGTATGTTTTCTTTGATAATCAAATCAGCATTTCTTTATTTTGTGTCTAATAAGTACTAGGTCCTTGGAGGACGCAGAGTATTAACCTTTAGTCCATGGCCTTAAGCAGAGTACAGACTAATTGGACTCCATCACCACATAACAGGTTAAATAATAATAAATGTACCAGAAATTGTAAGAAAAATCTATTTGTACATCATGACAAGAATATGTATTTAGTAGAGTTATCTGTAGGATGTAATTTGATGTGTTATATGACTATAGATGTTTTATATTTTATATTACTAAGTCTGATACTTCTCATTTTGGTATTCAAGGACGGAGGGTGAACACTCCAAAGAGGTTATTAAGCCATATGATTGGACGTATACAACAGATTATAAGGGAACGTTACTTGGAGAGTCACTAAAGTTAAAGGTAAATTTTGTGGTTTTTATTTTCTTGAACAATTTAAACAAGGACTTTGTAGGGATGGGTTATTTTTTGTTACTTCTTTCATCCTACTTATTTCCTATTGTGGGGTATTTCAGAACCTAATGTGAGGGATGCTATTGCTTATCAGCAGAAAATAAAAGGAGAGCCATGGTGGACCATTTTTATTCTTAAACTGGCTGATAACAATGGCAGATTGCCTTAATATTGTTATCATCATCAAGAAGTATTAAAATGTACATTTGTTGTTAGTGTGATTTAGAAAGAACTGTCGATTAGTAGCTTACAATCTTACAGATAAACAGTTATGTGAGCAATTTGGATTTTTAGTTATACAACTTAGATTTTGTTCTTCCTGCTCTATGTGTGAACCTGTTATGACTTCAGGCAAGTTACCCAATTTATGTGAATCTTATTTGTAAATTGGGGAAACAAATATATCTATTTTGTGGCCAAACTTGGATATGTGCTTAAGAGATTCACTTCATGGTCAATAACACTAAGAAGCGGGTATTGTGGGCCTTCCCTAGTGGTGCAAGGGGTTAAAGTGCAGCACTATGAAGCTGTCCACAGCAGCACTAGTTCGATCCCTGGCAAGGGAGGTAACCCACATGGCATGGCAGGCCTCTCCTGTCTTACCTGCTGCTCCCCTCAGCAGTGTAATTTAGTCAATCTGCCTGTTCTGCACCTTACTCTGTCTCTGGTGAATCTGCTCAACCCCTGCACCTCTGTACCCCAGTTCTGTGTGCATAAATAAATCAATCTTTAAAAAATAAAAGGGGTATTGCTAGGTCTGAGATTAGGCACTTATCTGAATTTTGAGATCTTAAAGTGTGACAGAAATGATGCAAATTTGGCTTAGATTGTGTCTCTAAATATCATATTCTATAATATTAAATGCAGTTATTACTATGTAAATGATTTATATTAAAAATAGTAGAGGGCCTTCCCTGGTGGCGCAATGGGTTAAATCACCATGAAGCTTTCTGCAACCACTTCACCGCCAGTTTGATCCCCAGCCAGGGAGGTGACCTACATGGTGTGGCAGACCTCTCCTGACCTGGCCGCTGCTCCCCTCAGCAGTATACTTCATAGCTCTGCCTGTTCTGCTCCCCGCTCTTTCTTTGGTGAATCTTCTCACTGTTCCTGCACCTCTGGTCTGTACCCCAGTTCTTAAATCTTAAAAAAAAAAGAAAAACATGTATCTAGTACACTCTGAGAGTGTAAGCCTGTTGCTTACACTAAGCCTGTAATGTAACCTGGGTTAGGTATAGATGACAAGTAACAATGTGGTTATCTGATCTCACCATTGCTAATGAACTCAGGCTTTGGTGGGGTTCAAATCCTAACACTACCACTTAACAGCTTGGAAAAGTTTTAATTTTGCTAAACCTTGTTTCTTGTTTTGGGAAATTTGAGATAACAGTTGTGAGGTAGTAGATAATATATGTAAGGTATTTAGTATGCTGTCCACTAGAGAGAATATCTCAATAAATGACAGATGCTATTACATTATATCTCACATGTCAAAAGAACTAAGTTAATATTGAAAAGTGAAGAATAAAATTAGATATATTGTCTACATTTTTATTGTTTGAAGGTCTGAAAAGAGTTAACAAATATGTTCCTTTATTGTCTTAAAAAACTGAGCGACCGTTTTCCAGGCAAAATTGTTAGAGCTTGTAGCTTAACCTTCAAAATATCCTCATAGGCATTATTATCCTCATTTTGTAGATGAAAAAAGGGGTTCAGTATCTTAAGGTATGAATCTCTTAACTACATAGTAGCAACAACATGAGTCTAATGCTGTAGCTTATTGTTTAAGCAGGTTGACTATGTACAGATTGTGTTCATAGAGAGTTTTTGCATTTCACTTTTGTAATACATAAGACCTTTTTTTTTAAATCCATGATACTGTTGTGATTTTAAACTCTTTAATTCTCTAGTTCTTCTTCAATGCATCTCAAAAATACTGATGTATATAAGAAATATGTGTCTGTGTAGAAAATATATTTTATACTGAATGTAAGAATGTCAAAAGCCTTTCTTTGGCTCATAAATTTGTGATTTTGAGTTGATGGGGGGCTGTGTTCAGTGGTTTCTCAGTACCTTTTCAAAAGGAAATTTAACATGGAGCTCTTAGCATTTTCTGTTAGGTAACATTATATGACCTATTAAGAAGTATTCATGTCCAGTAATTTCCTTATTTTAAACTTTCATCTGATGTCAGGGAGGGTTCATTTGAAAGATATGAGTAGGATCTATTTTTCTTGTAAGAACTTAGAATGTTTGTAGTTTCTGTTTTTTTTAAACTTTACAACATTGTGAAATAACTAAACAGAAAAGTTCATATAACATGAAGTTATTGTTTAACAAATTGTGAAATGTAGCTACCCAGGATAAGAAACACATTGTGAACAGCCCCTGCAGGGCCATTCCTCAGCACAATCATTCTTTAAAAAAAAATTTCCCAATATCCTTTGAAATTTTCAGTCTTAGGTTCTGTGTCCTTGAAACCAGTGTTCCTTGGCTTACAGCTTGGGGCTTATATCTTCAATATCTGGGATCTCTGGCACCTTTGATTAATAAGTTTTGTTATTTCTCTTGCTTCTGGCTTATGGTACCGAGGCTCCTGATACTCCTCTGTATTTTTGTTTGAATCCCAGGAAATTTTCATCTAGAAGAGATTTTTGTTTATTTCCAACAGGCACTTGAAGGCTTTTATAGTCAAGGACTAGGTCTGCAAACTTTTTCTGTGAAGGAGAGTGGATAGTAAATACTTTAGACTTTGAGGGCCATGAATTTGATGTTCCAACTACTCAACTCTGATGATGTCATTGGAAGCAGCCATAGACAAGTATGAATATGGCTAGGCTTTAGTAAAATTTTATTCATATATATGGAAAATTGAATTTCATAAAATTTCATGTGTGATAAAATATATTTAAAAACATTTTCCCAGTCACTTAAAGAATAGAAAAAAGATCCTTCATTGGCTGTCCATTCAAAAACATTAGGCTCCATTTGGCAACTGGTCTCGTTTGCTAACTGCTCATTTATTCTAGCGCCAGAGTTTGAAGTTTACTGGGCCTGCAGTATAAGAAACTGTGAAAGCAGTGTAGCACTTCAGGGTGTCTTCCCCAAATTAGGAGGCGGAGCAGGGAATTCTCCCACATTACCCACCTCTGGTGAGCACTAAGCAGTGATGGGAGCAAAAGCTGGCACAATCCAGCTTCACCTCAGGATCAGCTGCTGTCTGATGCCTCAAGGCCCCAGCTGCCATTCACAGGCTCACTTTCATTTTGGGGCCTCCTGTCCTCCAGATATTAGTGCACTAATTCTTCAGTGCCTTGATCATTTGATGTGATAAAGAAGTTTCTGTTTTGCACATAGCTTTTAAAATTGTCTTTAGCAGGACAATTTTTCTAGTTTACTTATTCTGACAACTTTGGAGGCCAAAAGTTGTTCATTGTGTTTTTATTTTATTTTATTTTATAACAGTTTGTTCACTGTGTTTTAAGTTTAGTTTAGGTTCTCCCTTCACACCTGCCCCCCCACCCTTTGTTTTGGATGCCTGGGTTAGGGGAAGAGATAAGTGGAGTTGAGGAACACTGTAGGCTAAGATTAAAAAGCTTAAAGCTTAACTATCCTTGCAAATAAAGAAGATAGTATAGATAAGATAAATATAATGAATACCCCTAATCTGTGTTTTACTTAACTGTTTTTTTTTGTCTTCAGATATTTTATAAGCATAAGTAAATGACAATACTGACATACTTACTTTGACTTCTTGCTAAGATAGTATGAAATATTAGTGAAGTAACCATTTCCTAATAAGTAAATTCCTTTTAGCATCAATTAATTTTTTGTAAGTTAGAAATATCTATAAGTAGGACTTTTCAAATACCTTCCTTTGAACTAAAAGGAATTTAGAAATTGTTTTTATTAAACATTAACTAACGTTTTATGCTCTAAGGCAGTCCTAGAGGCACCAACTTTTATTTTAAATAGATCAGAAATCTGTCAGTGCCGCCCTACCTCCTTCCTTCCCTCTGCACCCCTTCTCCCCCTAAGCTTTCACCTTCACATGTGGTGTTATGTCTGCTCCAGACATCTTTTGGAGTAATATTCAGAGGGCTGAAGTATTACCTGTAAATGATAGTGGAAGAACATTTTTTTTACCTCTGGGAATCATATACAAACTACTTATAATTTTTTCCATCACATCACGTGATACTTCCTTAGGGCCTTTGCCCCCCAAATCTGTGCAATAGCTTGAACATCATTTATTATATTCTTCTAATTATCTCACTACCTCAAAATACAGGCCATTTCTTTATTCTTTCCATAAATCAGAAGATCTAATCATGGCTACTAAGCAAAATAATAGCTACCACTTACTGGGCACCTATGATGTGACAGTCATTGTATTTAATTATGATATCACCATGTCAAAAAAATAGACATGAATGTATGAAGCTGTAGTAAAGAGTGGTATCACAAAACATACTTTAGTGCTACTTGCTACTGTTGGGGTTTGGTGTGGGAAGTTTCTTAAATCTCTCAGAGGGTGATTTAGCATAAATGATTATCTTAGTAGAACACTTGATTTAAATTTGGTGTATATGAAAGCCTATGAACTTTTTACTTTATTTTGGGTGAAGTTATATCAACTTCTGCAGTAGCTTCAGCTTTTCAGATGTAAGGCACATATCTTGTCTTTTTTTGTCTACTGATAACACCCAAATTTAGAGCCCTGTGCTCTATGGAGAAAATGACAAGTAGGAAAACTGTTTTCCTGTATTTCTTGAAATTTTTAATGTGCTCATTAATGATTTTTTTTTTCTTTCAGGTTGTACCTACAACAGATCATATAGATACAGAGAAATTGAAAACCAGAGAACAGATTAAGTTTTTTGAAGAAGTTCTCCTGTTTGAAGATGAACTTCACGATCATGGAGTTTCGAGCCTGAGTGTGAAAATTGTGAGTATTATGATTTTGTTTAAAATTAACTTCTTCCTTCTAGTCTTACCTTTGGTCAGACTTAGTACAATTTACCTCCCATCAACATGATGTCATATAAATTTTAGTTAGTCTAACATGCACCTTACTAATGTCATTATAAAATTAGTTTTGTGTTAACAAAGCAATTTTTAATTAGACCTGGCTGACTATTTTGTGGTTTGTTTGCTTATTACTTCAAAAGTCGAGCTCTAGCCCACACATGCTCCCCTTCGCCTGTTCCTATTCTTCTCCCTCAGTGGCCACCAGTCTTAGTCCTTGAACTCTCTGGAGAAGTTCTAGAGCTGTATAGCTGGTTTGAAGCATCTGGATTAATGCCAAAAGCTCATATCAATCTTTTTGTAGTTGTTACAGGGGATAAAATGACTCCAGCCCCTTCATACCATGTTATGGGTGGAGAATTTGCATGAAAATCATTATGCAGATGGCATAGTGGATGTCATTTTGAAAAGTGCTCCATGTGTACTTTTAACTTAATTTCACTTTTCAGCACAGAAGTGGAAAATAGAAAGGACAAGTGTAAATTCCCTTCTTCTGTATTCTTTTCTATCACTGTTATTGGTGAAAGATGCTTTAAAGAATAATAAACAGGCCATTAGTAGCTATTCCTATTTGCTTGCTTTTAGGTTGTGATTGGAATTCTCACTTTGCAGAAGAAACTTCAACTGAAATTTTATTAAGTAGCTTAACCCCTAAAAGCAATTAAAATGTCACCTCCTTTATAAGGCCTTCCATAGCTTCCCAAAGCACAATTAAATATTCCTTTTTCACATTCCTATAAATACTTTCTTAAACCCCTCAATTATAGTACTTACAAGATTTATCAAAAAGATTGGTTCTTGAAGCACATTGTGGCTGTTATGATTTAAACCATAATAAAGAATGAAACAATCATATAAAAACAAAATACATTTGTTTTAAAGCCAAATTTTTCTGTAGAAACCGTATTTTGGAATTGTAATGAATTTTAAAGGAATCATTTAGTCTTTTATAGACAAGATTCTAAAGGTTAGCTTAGCTGAGGTTGGGAAACTAGTCACAGTTTTCTTTGAAAACCCATATGTATCATTCTAGTATTAGATAATTGTTTTCTTACTCCTTTGGTCATGTATAAGTCTCCCCCAACATCTTTTGTCATTTA